CATTGAAGAAATAAATAAAGCCAATTTTGATCCCCTAATTGATGACTTGAAAATAAAACTAACCCAATGGCATAAGTTAAATCTTACTTGGAGTGATCGGTTAAATATTATAAGATCCTTTGTTCTACCTAAGTTTTTATTTTTGTTTAGAGCTCTCCCAACAATAATATCTATGAAACAACTTTTAGCCTGGCAAAAGATGTTATTGGATTTTGGGGGGGCATACAAAAGACACAGGGTGCACAAAACAACTGTTAGTAGACAAAAAGCCCGGGGAGGGTTGGGTTTTCCTGATCTACAAACGTACTATCATGCTATTCATTTGGCTAATATTCTTAGGATGTTGCATGACTCCCAAACAGTGGATTGGGTAAGAATACAAGCTCATTATACTTTTCCATTTGATATACCTGAAGTTATTTGGCAAACAGTATCAGAACGTCCTAAATTAATCTCTGAAAGCTTTATTTTACGTACCTTCTTGCATACCTGGGAAAACAAAAGAAAATATTTAGTTCCACAAATTTCAAAAATTCAAACCATTTTTAATCAAAAAGCAATTTTACCAGTAGATTCTCCAATAGACCAGAAACAATGGAAACAAGCTAACATAACCACCTTGGAAGATATTGCACATAACAACAAATTTATGAATAAATCCCAGCTTGAAGATAAATTGGGTTGCAGTTTAAACTGGCCTCATTATATGCAAATTTCACATATGGCTATGCAACTCCAATTAACAGATATTTTAAAACGTCCACCAACAGGTTTTGAATCAATTTATAATCTAATGAAGAAATCCAGAAAACAACTTATTGCAAAAATGTATAAAATATTAATAGATTTAGAGGGTTCTGAATTGCTCACCTATCAAGAAAAATGGCATTCCATATGTAATATTACTTTGACTAAAGATGACTGGCAACAAATATGGAATTCATTTTCTTTTAAAACTAATATTATTGAAATAGGCTTACAAATGTTCACAATTTTAACTTTTTGGTATTTAACCCCTCAAAAATTAGTGCAAATCACATCTTCAGTCTCACCATTATGTTGGAGAAAATGTAGAAATCTTGGTAACTACACGCATTGCTGGCTTGAATGTCCAAGGCTGGAATTATTTTGGAAAGATGTTATTAATCAAATTAAAGGCATTACAGGGGTTGAATTGTAATTTACGGTTGAACATTTATTATTAAACAGATGGCAAGCCAAAATATGTTCTGTAGATACTAGTAAACGTATAACTATTTTACTGTCTGCAGCTAAAAACACTATTGCATTGTTCTGGAAAAATACTGTCAGTCAAAATAGGCAGCATTGGCATTCTAAACTATGGAAACTGTATATTATGTCAAAAATTACTGATAGGGTAAATGGTGCAAATTCTTATAAATCTTCCACAAATTTTGCTATAATTCGATTGCCTATTCTAGAATATTTAGTTCACCATGATGTAATACCAGATGTAGTCAATGATTTGAATTTGTGGTAAGTCTTGTCTATAAAAGGGAGCGGTGGCGCAGGGAGTAAAACACCTGCAGTAACTATCTAGCGAACAGCCATAAGGCGGTTTGAGACCCACCGTGGCCAGGGTGAGCTCCCGGCCCTTGTCCCAGCTCCCACCCACCCAGCGGTTCGAAAGCTTAAGCAAGTAGATAAATGGGTTCCTGCTCTAGGTAGCAGGGGGCACCCTCCCTCCCTACGGAGTGGGTGCAGCAGGAGCATTGGCAAAAAGTGGTGGCGAGAGGCGACGAGCGGTGGCAACGTGCGGTCTCCAGGTGAACAGCGAGAGCAGTGAACATCCAGGCGGCAAGCGGTGGCTGAATTCGGGCGACGATTGGACGGGAAGGCGCGGTGACGTAACGACGCAGCCCAGCGTACCCAACAGGACGTGTGCCGGAACTGTGGTCATCACACAAGCCGCGCACCACAAAGATCTCGCCTAAAGGAGTCGCTGCGAGAAGGCCTGCACTAAGAAACGCCGTCATCAGGAAAAAGCGGAAGAAAGCCGAGAAGGGAAACAACAAGAACAACAAGCCCTGTTGTCTGGGGTGCCGGTAGGCAGTCACTTTCCCTGAATATTGTGGCCCTGGATAGGAAATAACTTAATCATGTAAACCACTCAGAGCCTTCGGGGTTGAGCGGTCTAGAAATTGAAAGTTAAAATAAATAAATAAAAATAAATATTTAAGCCTCTGTCATTATTTGTTTTTTTTTAAATAAACTGTTGCACCCTATGCTATTTTGTTGCATGTATCTTTGTTTTTGCCACCTGAGAGGTCACAGAAAAAACAGCTGTCGGAATTAGAAAACAAAGTTTGTAGTAAAGAAAAAAAATGTATGGACCCAAACCATCTCTACAGTTACAGTTGGTAGAACCATGAGTATCTAGTTATACTTTATAACTTTGAAAACACATAGTAGCATATGAGTTGTTGTCAGAATTACTGACATTTAAACAATAGATATAACCTTGACAATATGTTGTATATGTCTCAGTTTATGTAGGAATAGATACAGAGGAGTTAGCTGTGTTGGTCTGTTGCTGCAAAATAGTAAAAAGCGTCTGACAAAGAGAGCTGTGTTTCTTGAAAGTTTGTTAGTCTTAAAGGTGCTACTGGACTTTTTACTATTTTGTATGTAGGAATGATAGTTTGAGCCTTCTTCGGAATGTCATTATTTGTTAATGTTAAACTGTTGATACCATATATATCTTTATTTCTGTGTCACTAAGATTTTTTATATATTTTTTCTTAACTTACTTTTTGATCCTGTTGTTTATGCTGTTAATTGTTTTACATTGTCCATTTTGTATTTGTATTTTTTCATGTTGAAAAATTAATAATTTTTTTAAAAAAATTAGGG